AAAATAGCTCCCGTAAACAAAATTACTAGAGCTCTTTTTTTCATACACAATCAAAAAGGAGCTCTCGTAATAAAAAAAGTATTTTTTAGGCTGCTATACACCGACTATCACGAGCCTAGGTCGAGCCATTTATATTTGTGCCGCAATTCTGCATTTCCTCCCTATACCCTAAGTTAAGGAAGGAATGTTCCCCCTTCTTTTACACCTCTTGACCTTTGACCTTTGACCCCCAGCTTCGACATCCCAACTCGTTATCGGATTACCCCCCCCCCAACAAACGTCCCAAATATCGTCACCGTACGTCGAGCGGTTAAGATTTGTCCCCAACTGTTGACGGACGGACGCACGAACGGACGATCATGCGATTCTACAAGCTGCATATGACTACGTCAGATGAGCTAAAAACAGTTCTAGCGATTGTGAAGGGCGGCTATCGCACGGCATCCTCACTTTATATTATCAAAGGTCGCCGACAGTCAGCACAGCGTGGCTGTGTATACGTGCCTGGGGCGGCATATTGATTGATGTACGGGGGGGGGGAGTCGCGTGGGGCATGTTCATTATAGGGAGTGGGCACCTGACCTGCCTCTTCAAAAATAACACGGAACATCCAGTATTCATAAATAGTAGTCAGCTAAACCGGCTGTCTTTAATGTGTGACAACTTGACCAAATGGTGGAAAAACTACAACATAAAAATAGAGAATACTGTCACAGATGGGGTGGACATGCTTCAGATACTTGCACATAAAACTAACTTCAGTTGCAGATCTATATCATATGTACTGGAAAGAAATATTGCAAAACAGTAGTGTACTGGCTACATAAATAAGCAGTGTCTTTATGAGACAGCTTCAGTCCACAATTGACTTATCTGATGTATACTTACATTGTGGTAAACCAAGCTTTAAATAGAGAATCAGCCGACCAAGCTAAACCACGAAAAATGGCCAATAGCAAAGACACAAGAGCCTCACGTAGTTTAAGGTGTTGAACAACAGTAGAGGGCGTCCATAGGCGGCAAGCCTGAATAAGCATCAAACAGAAATTAATTAAAAATACTCACACTGTTACTGCGCTTACACAACATACACTTTATTTATGTTAAATAACTACAGATTCATGCTCTATGCTCCGCTCGAAACTTTTGCCAGATCCCGTTTCATACACAAAAATGGCCGAATTGACGCCACTTGACAAAATGTCACAGCTACACGACAAGACCAATTTTACTTCTAATGCTTTTTAGACGTCCACGAGGCATCTATCAATTATTGCACTCTAGTGCTGAATTTCTGCGAAAAAAAATTCTAAAAAAGGCATTTTCTAGGCACATGCACGCGCGCAGTCACACACGTAAGCACGCCCCCAGGCACACTGGCACACACAGGCACGCACGTGTAGCCCTGGTATTCTGCTGTTACTCTAACTCGTCGGTCGGTGATCGTAGACAATGATGGTCGAAGAGGTTGTGTATGTTATATACGATTTAGACGTCTTTATTGTAATACATATGTGCTTCAGCTTACATGCGTGGGTCGGGTAGCCAGTGCCCCACCCGACTCCTCTCGAACCTTCTTTCCTCTTCCTTATATATCTATCACCTTCTGCCATACGGCACCGCTCGTTATAACCAATGAGCAGCTCGCGTGCCGTGAAACATGTTCGGACATGTGACTTTGAGTCACCAGCAGCTGTTGCCATTCCTGTCCCACGTTGCATCATCTCTGCTATGACGCAGTAACAATTCTCGTCTCCACATTTCACCCCGCCATGTTCAAGTCGATTAACCCGGTAATTTAATCGGCTTGTCAGTCTCCTGACTGATTACAACTATATACATTTATAAACCAAACACCATGTACGTAAATATTATCGAATAGTGACAATGCTGTATCATAGCGTGCTATCCGAATCGAGCATTAGGGCTTCGTTAAGCGCGAGCACACCGTGATCAGCGGTGATTGGCACTTAAACGTCACAATTGTGAGAATATTCAGATGCTGCGGCATTCGTCGATCTGCTGATCTCACCGGCTTCTACCACGTTGATGTGTGGTTTGTCCATCCCACTGGGTCCAACGGCTGGTACATGGAGCGTTGAGAGCTGCAGGCGATGATGTCGCTCTGACGTTATAAGATACTCTTTGCACGACTCATGGAACCAACTTTCCTATGCTAATCATTAATTGTTATTATCGGTGTAGTGCCTTCTGCACTCAGCATGTCAACTATATAGCTATCTCCACACGAAATATGAGTCCTTAACTATAAGAACTTTTCTATACCTATGTGTAGACTAAACTCAACGGATCCTTTACGTTACAACGTATATACCGCTTTATACTATTAAACACATAGTACGAGAATATACACTCGCGGTCAAACATACATACAATTTCCATTAAACTCGTACTTCTCTCTACGCGTGTGCCGAACGCACCTATTCGCGTGCATCGCGACTACTGAGTTTACATCATTGGATACTCAATAAACCGTAACACGTGCAATTCTCTATAGGTGTGTGAAACAATTATATGTCGGCATTGAATCGTTCGAAAATTTGTTTCGTATTGTTAGCCTTGAAATATCATAATATGCACTTTGGGTATAACGTTGATACAATAGGCGGTGAGGCTGACTTTGTATGAGGATGGATGGGTGGATAACGTAATTTAGAATAACTTTCTGTGTATTTTGGGTAGTCCTTTCGACTCCCACAGTCCTGCAATTAAAACACACATCATCTCTCCCGTCGCTACCCGTTCCGGTACAAGACGGCGCGAGATCGGCGGCTAAAATCTGCTCTTCCAGTTTGTGAGGCTGGGAATAGCAGGTCCCCGATGTACATCCCTCCCTCGTCGTGGGGAATACCCAGCGATTAGGGGGCGCATCTTCCGCCGTTGCTTCGATCGTCCACGACCGCTACGATCGTCAACTTAATACTCGCCGCATGCGCTCTCCCCGGCGCATTCCGCTGCTCTGCTATTTCACTGTTACACGGCTCTGCCTGCTTCGTTCAAACACAGTCCCACGGAAACAACCTTCCTCTTGACCTAGCTTGTACCGTGTAAAGTTAAGCCGCAGATTCTCCTCTCTCAGGTGAATCTCTAAGTTCTGCTAATGGGAGTAAGTCTTCAAGTTCCCAATTCTCACTACTAACGCTGTCCGTTTCATCATCCGCTCCGTGAACCGTTTTAGCGTGTCTAGGGAGTATATCCCGCGTTCTCGCAGTGTCTTGCGCACCTAAACTATCTTCCCGCGTCTTCCAAGCATCAGACGGGTAAGCCGGTCGCAGACTATCAGCGTGTGCCCTATATGTACGGGTTTGTCCTTGACGCTTAATGCGAAACACTAATGGAGACACCTGCTCCACAATCGTAAAATATGGACGCCAAGCCGAATGAAATTTGGCGGTCTGATTCGGTCCTAGTACTGGGCTGTGCCAATACACTGAATCACCCACGGCCAACTTCTGATCTTTAGCTCTTTTATCATAAAGTAGCTTATTTCGTGCTCTCGCAGCACGTGTGTTGTGCTGGATTTGTGACCATGCACTATGTAACCTCTCTGTTGCCTGTGCAACTGGATCATCTGCATACTGGACTCTCCGTGGTTTGAGAATCACATCGAGTGGCATATTCGCTTCTCTGCCATGCATTAAAAAGTAAGGTGTGAACTGGGAAGTGTCATGTACTGCTGTACGGTATGCAAACAGAACTCCACCCAGCTGTTTGTCCCATTCTGCATGCGCCTGGCCTAGATAACATGCCAAAAGAGAATTTAACGTTCTGTGGAAGCGTTCAACAACCCCATTAGATGCTGGGTGAAAGGGGGCTGTCGTTACGTGTTTAATTCCCATTGCTTGTGTAAGCTTTTTCATTAATGCATTACAAAATTCCGTGCCATTATCTGTCAAAAACATCTCGGGGCACCCATGCCTTGGAATGAACTTGTTGACAAAGACGTCTGCCACCACAGCGGCTGTCTTATTCGGAATCCCATAGGCTTCCGGCCAAGACGAATAAAAATCTATAAATGTAATGCAGTAACGATTAGCATTCTGCGTAATGGGCAACGGTCCCATTAAGTCTATGGCGACTACCTGGTTCGGACAGTTTGGCTGTGTCGCGTGTGCTAGCGGTGCACGTACGCGTTGAAATTTTCGCGACGAACAAGTCACACACGACTTGACATATTCGTAAACATCTGTAAACATTTTCGACCAATGGTATCGTTGTTGTATCCTACTCAACGTTTTAGAAAATCCTAAATGTCCGGAGTAAACATGGTCGTGAAAAAGTGCCATAAGTTTAGAAACAAGCTCGTGTGGAACGTCTAACTGAGAATTGTAATTTGTCTTGTCCGCCTCTATGTAAAATAATAATCCATCATCTAGGTAATAATTACTAACAAACCGTGCATCGCGTAACGAACAATTATCTCTAAGCAATGCTTCCTTAACATTGGAGATGAATTTGTCACCTGCTTGCATTGTTCTAAATGTATCTAACGTGAGATCGTCACACTCTTTGTGTGCTGCCTTCGCTGTTTGCTGTGCACTAGCGTTCTCCTGAATGTGTGCGACAATGGTAGGTGGTTGTGAATCACCAATTTCTGGATCTGCAGATACAGGATCAAACGCAGTTATACACTTGTATTGTGATGCTCGGGTATGCGTTACGGTGTCCCGTATTAAAACACAACGCGATGCATTCAGAACAGAAGAAGGGCAATCATGTATGTAAGTAAGCAATCACTGAAGCTGAATGCCGTTGGCCAATAGTAGAACGTGAGTGTTCGCATTAGTTTATGGAGTTCAAAAGCTTAAAACATTTATATACACGGTCAAAGGTCGAAGTGCATTCTGACCATCGCCCACTCCGTTATCTTCTAGAGGCAAGTCATTACGCAACGCCGAAGTTACAGCGTTGGGCGTGTTTACTTTCAGCAATTCGATCTAACTTTACAATAACAGGCCTGGGAAAAGCAATAAACAGGGCAGACGCCTTATCGCGCATTACTTATACACACCGCACGCGCGAGAGAAAACTCATGCTGTTGATGCTTCCACGCAAACACGAACATGTGGAGAGCAAATTAACAGCAAGCAATTACAGATTTTTTATTTTTTTATTTTTTATTTTTTTATGTTATATAACACCTATATAGGTAGTTATATATATATAGGTTTGTTGAAGCTGTGTTGAGCTTGAGCTTGAAAAGTTTAAAGCGCATTTCCGATCTTTCGAGATCTGCCAAGTGTCTCCTCTCTGGTTGTCCCTCTGGCAACGCTGTCAAATCAATACTTCAGCGCCTCGACTCTGCAGCTGCTTCCCATTTCCGTATACAACGCTTGCTTGCAACGGCTATTGAGCGGATGAAATCATCATCGTGACGTAGTCCATTTAATTCTTGCTTCTTGCATATCCAGGTCGTACTTATGCGAATTTGTTTGTCTTCAATATATGTGCGTTCTCTCGCCGCCATCATATCACGGTTCGTCTGCATGTCATACAATGCCCGTATGCTAGCAATCTTTGCTGCTCGCTTGCTCGATAGCCATTGACATAGCCAAGTCTGAGTTCTGGCTTATATATGCGTTATACGCATCATCATATCACTTCACGTAATGCCCGCAGCAGAATAAGTCTCTGCAGGGTGTGCTACGCATATCAATGTTCATGTCTTCTGTCTTCCTCTTCTTTTTCTTCATCTTCTCCTTCCTCCTGCGTTGTGTTTACTCAATGTTCGACGCGTGCATCATTAACACGGTAGATTCGTCTTCTCCTCCTGCGTTGTTTTGCAAAGAAATACTCACGTTCTTGGTTCAACGGCCGCCAAATGTCCACCCTGGTATTCTGCTTGTTACTCTAACTCGCTCGGTCGGTGATGCGTAGACAATGATGGTCGCAGAGGTGTGTGTATGTGTATATAAGATTTAGACGTCTTTATTGGATACATATGTGCTGCAGCTACATGCGTGGGTCGGGTAGCCAGTGGCCCCACCGACTCCTTCCAGGCGTTCTCCCCAGGATGAAATTCAAACAGGGAGAGGGAGGAAAGGGGGGGGAACTACGTGGTGGCTGTTTTTTTACCGGCTACCACTAATAATGCCGTAAAATCGCCACACACCTTATACGGTATTTGGGGTTCTTGTATATATAAGATATAGCCGAGTCGGTGTACAGTAAGTGTTAGGTGTCGGGCGACAGGTTGACTGGTGTATTGTCTGCAGTGCGATTGCGTGGCGTACGTAAAAATACATGCCCGTGTGTTCTGGTCGAATAGTGCCTCTTGACGATCGATTCCCGCGCTGGCAAACTTTTATTGTGGTGGAATTTAATCGGGGCGGAGATAGTTTAAACGGGGCGCAACGATTGAAACAGGGGGGAGTTTTCCCAAACGGGGCGCGCGCGCCCCGTTTGCGCAACGTAGGGAGAACCCTGCTCTCGAACCTTCTTTCTTCTTCCTTATATATCTATCACCTTCTGCCATATGGCACCGCTCGTTACAACCAATGAGCAGCTCGCGTGCCGTATTGATTCCCTATGATTCCCCTGGCCGGGTGAAACATGTTCGGACAGGTGACTTTGAGTCATCAGCAGCTGTTGCCATTCCTGTACCGCGTTGCATCATCTCTGCTATGACGCAGTAACAATTCTCGTATCCACAAATGTATCTCTGGGTGTATTCTTGGTATTGAGGCACAAGTGAATAACTGTGGGTGCTAATGAACGGGTACCCACATGTCTTCAATTTCAGACACAGGTGTATTCGTTTGACCAATATACGTAAATACGCGTAGTGCCGTCTGCTTTCCATGTTTAGTCTGTGGCTGTGGTTAGTCCGCGATCCTCTCATTGTAACGTAGGAATGAGCGTTGATGTCGAAATGATGTAGAAACAGATCCAAATCCAGAACTTGTGTGGTAAACTGTATAACTTTTAATATCTTACACACCTCACATCTTCTTACACACAGACAAAGACCCGCGCACACGCGCGGTCGCGCGTGCGCGTCCTCTCGCGACCAGCCCCCAATCTCCCCCTCTTCTCTCTATTACCCCCCAAAACTCCTACCACCATACTGCCCGCACATGTACCCGTTCTCAGAGACTACGTCCTACCCCAATTTCACACTGACTCTCGAAACTGCCTAACCTAACCACGTCCTGCCATTCTCCCTAATACATCAATGTAGCCGCCCATCTGGTTGAGCGACGCTGTCTAGCTGGACTATGGCTAAAACAACTACCCGTCTAGCTCCACTGACTAATTCATGTAACGCATATAAAATAGACGTTTACACCATAGCGTTGGCCCCCAACACAGCCTACTTCATTATCACGAGCGTCCGTGATTTGTACGTGGATTCCACATTCATTACAATCAGAGCTACTGTTACGTATACAGTTACGGTACTGTACTATCGCTAGCATTGCGTACGGCCGAGCCAAAATGCATGCGTGCGTGCGTTTTTGCATGCGTGCGAAAATGTCCGGTGGACTATAAATCTGTATCACACCCGTTTCGAAGTATGCGGTTTCGAAACTGTAAACAAGTCAGTCAACTGATTTCGTGGACTGCGGATTTCAATTTGACATTTCTTAGTAACCAGCAGTGATATTGGACAAACTAATACGCGTTTGGCTATAAGGTAATGTACTTATTAACTACACAAGGTGCCAGTTACTCTAGCATTCGTTAAAATTGCATAATCAATGGACCTATTATCTTACTATAATTTGGCGAATGTTGTATGTATGTATGTATGTTAATGAAAGGCTCCGTCAGTTTGGATCCAAATACGCAACATTCACCGAAGAGATCGATGAGTCACACGGACGGGTTCTAAACTATACTCGGTTGAAAACGCGTTGTTCGGTCTTAAAAAAGACAAAAAAAAACTAAAAAGGTAAAGATTTGCCTGAAAATAGGGGCGCTGTTTTGTTTTCGTTTTGTTCTGTGTTACTGTGTATGTTTGTTCTGTGTGTGTGTGTCTGAGATTTTTGTAAGTTCAATAATGTAAGTAGAACGAACCATGTAATAATCAAGTAAATATTCAGCACTTGTAGCTTTTCGGCATAGTTTCCCATATGAGATGTACAAGTTGAATTTCATCAGGGCAGAATTTTTTTTGGAAGTCTGCAATGGCTGTACTGTACAGTGTACGGGTGTCGTTGACAGCGAGCGCTGTCACAAAGCGGTCCGATCACAAGCACGTAATATTACGTTGTCCGCACAGAGTGCAAAACATGCATAGAATAGCCGATCACAACCACGCAATATTACCTGGTCCGCACACAGTGGAAACATGCGAAGCACGTAATATTACGGTGCTACGCAGCCAGTGGTTAATCAGTCGCCGACCTACCAGCCCATTCAGATCTATCTATATCTAACTTTGAAGTCCGTATCATCAACCAGTAGTCCTACATAGCATACAATAACACACATTTTTGTGTGGTGCGCGCGTCGTGCGTGTGTCTGTATTTCACTGTGTGCTTGCCAACAAATGGTTAATGTGTCACCGTGTAAGCATGATGTACATGTATTTGTATGACATCTCAACCATAAAAAACAAACATGTGCAACAACTAAACCTCCATCTAACACTATTACACAAATCACACTATACTGTACTGGTAACACATGCATCACAGTCACTAAGCCCCGCGCGTAGCGCGGGTTTCACCGCTAGTGCTTTAAAGATTCTATCATTCTAGCACTTGTAACTTTGCGGATGTGCGGCAGCATTGATCTATGCATGGGGTATCGTGACTGGGAGAGAACAACGAAAGTAAAACCTTGCCAGAAGCTCCCGGCATTCATAGAGATTCCAGTACAAGTTTTTTTAACATACTCAAAGTAACTAAAAACTCTCTCTGGTTCTGAACTTGCTCAGTCGATGAAAAAGAATGTTGAAAATGAAAAGAAATGAAGTAAAAAAGAAACTTGAAAATAACCATACCATCATTACCATGATTATAATTCTTGATTTCCTGTCTTTGTCATGTACCTGACTATGTGTAGCTGTGTAGGTGCATGTCTGTCTGTGTGAATGAATTGAATAAGATGTGATTGGTTTCTTAGTTCAAAGTGAAATGAGATAAAAAAAAATGTGATCGAATGTAATTTGTCGACGATTTCCTAACACTGATAGTCTGATACTGGTGCCGAGTGCGCGCTGAATGCTGATGAATGATATTAGAGTCAGTGCATCAAAATTATGGAAATTTTAACAAAATCATGCTATGAAAAAGTAGCTCTGGCCAAGCCTAAAATAGCTCCCGTAAAAAAAATTACGAGACTCAGAGCTCTTTTTTCCATACAAAATCAAAAAAGAGCTCTCGTAAAAAAAAAGTAATTTTAGGCTGCTCATAACCCCATAAATATTAGTGTTTAAAGGCCAAGGGACTATATCAAAGACAGGGCCGTGAGAGAGACAAAGTTGATCAAATAGACAGATCAATACAGCAGATCGCATTAGTATCATAGGGTCGAAACCTAGAATGGCCTCTTCTTGCAAACAAAGGACATATCTCTTGGTAGATATGAATAGGCAAGACACTGATGAAAATCCCTGTCAATTTTAATGTCTCTATCCCCACATTTGGGGAAATGAGGCACCGGGTTCCAAACAAGGATTGTGTCAATGCAGCTTACCAGAGCTACTCTAAGATGTGTTCTCATGTAGTAAGTACTACATCTTATATCCATATAGGTCACTGACATTGTTTGATGCCTTTACTGAGTTAGCAATCCCCAAAGCTCTCGTACAGAACAGATTTACAGTTCTCAGTGCAGCGTTTCCAGTGTTAGTGATACTTCATTGCTTGCCTGGAATTTGTTATGCAATTATTGTCATAGACTTGATTATTTTTTGATGATCAATCTCGCCGCAGTGTTATCGGTCCTGAAGTAAACATGTGCTAAAATGGCCAATGAATAGTATGAGTTACAGTGAATTAAGGCATATATAGGAACCATTAGTCAGAGTGCTAGTATTGGTACTAGTGCTGTAGTGGGAGTACCGTGTTAGAATTAAACAGAAAACTTTATTCTATGTTGGACATTTGTCTGAGCCTGTCCTTTGCCAGTTACTTGTTTATTAAATATAACCTGGCATGATTAGGTTTACACCTGTGCACTGCATCCTGGTATCCTGGCAAGCCTATTTGGTTTTGTGGAGCAACAATGTCATTGATTTAATAAGTAGGCATCCACTATGTAGCAATTTTCTTGTGGCCATACCTAATGCGAGGATGAAGTTACGTGAACAAGAGACGTGGAGTCTCAGCGATTCTCGTGTCGTATTCTCTCTGGTTGTATTTGCTCCAGGTTTGCCCGCCTGTATTCGCATCTGCTGTTCGGTTAACACTCGCTTTGTCTTCAACATGCGCTGGTGTCTGTTCTAACAGGATGATGCATGACACCGTGAAGAAGGATATTAAGAAGATATGCTGCATCGGCGCGGGATATGTCGGCGGGCCGACATGCAGCGTGATTGCGCACAAATGCCCCGACATCACCGTCACTGTTGTTGACCTGAGTCAGCAGAGAATCGACCAGTGGAACTCTGACAAACTTCCCATATTCGAGGTATGGCCGCCTGTCGGTTGTTTGTAAATCTCTTGTACGTACCATTCCGGATGCAAGTGAATGCGTGCGAGTGAAAGAGAGTGTGTGGCATAGACTCTTTCAGTAGCAATCGGTCACGTTTAGCGCTGTGTTTGTGACTGCATCTCTGAGCAGTCTGGAAAATGTAGTTGCATAGTATCGACTATGAACCCTAGATGCAAAGATGTTATTTCTGATTATGTGAAGCAAAATTCTCATAACCTGAACTTTAGCAGAAACAGCTTGAACAGGTGTCTTGTGCTGTTATTGAGTAAAGAAGGCACTATTTTTTTTGTAGGTGATTCCTGCAACGCTGGTAAAAAATATTGTTGTCATAGCTTACACAACGAAGCTCAATCAAAGGTTCCAGCTGCCACATAGGAGGGGCAACTATAATAGCAAGGGTGAATCAAAACGAACTTTGTTTTTGTTCACCCTTGATAATATTAGGTTGAAAGGGGTTGAGTAAACTGTGAAAAACTTTTTCTAAATTCTATGCACATGGTTTTCCTCTACCATCAATTCACATCTTTCTAGTGTTTATGTAATGCAGTCTGGTTTCTTTTCACTCTTGTCCAGGAACAGCTGTCTCTTGGCTATTTCTCACAGCGATTCTTAGACTGCTGCAGACAGTTCGAGCGGAGAAAATGCCACAGTTTAATTAAAGTATAAATAGTGGTCAGTGGAAACGTTGTGAAGACATGTACTAAACCTATATGAGTTTTGATGTTTGACTTTCAATATTTATTTAATCATAGATATATATACAACATATATACAAGATATACAAGATATATACAACAATATATATGTTGTATATATCTATGATTTTATTAAACTCGTATCTCTTACTAATCTCAAGAGATGAATGCAGCCTACTGCATGATCATGTTCAGCATACACGTTATCACAAGTAATCAGGGAACGTTGCTATGGAAGGCCATTACCGCCAAAACCTACCTATTTTAATCGTGCTTAAAATGTATTTTAAGCACGATTGAATTCCAGCCAATCAGAACAGTGGTTTTTAATCGCGCTTAAAATCGATTTTAAGCGCGATTAAAAACCACTTCTGATTGGCTGGAATTCAATCACGCTTAAAATAGATTTTAAGCGCGATTAAAATAGGTAGGTTTTTGTGCATGTGCAGTGCTCGAAATAAGAAAAAAAATGTGGTTGTCCTGCGGACAACCCAGGCATCAAATCAGGTTGTCCGCAACAATTTCTGGTT